TCCGAGGCCCCGCCCCGCCTCGGGCCACAGGCCCTAAGCCACGCCCCAGCCCGGCCACCTGCGGCCGGTCGCGGCCCCGCCCACCAATCACTGGTCCCGCCCTGCAGGCCCCAGGCCCCGCCCCAAGCCCCTGCTCCCAGCCAGCCCGGCGCCCTCTGCCGGCCTTTCTGGGTCGAGGGAGAGGGCTGAAAACCAACCCGAAGACATCCAGATCCTAAGCCCCGCCGCCGTCTTTACCGCCTCTGCAGGGGGCAGTGGGGTGCAGGAGTCCACGGAGGTGACGACCTGTGATCTGGGCTCACCAGGGCAAGATGGAACTGGAGAGGGGTCTGCAGAGGCGAGGACAGGCTAGGTGGTCCAGCGAGGACGGGGCGCCCCGGGCAAAGCTACAGTGGGCTGTGCCGGTGGGGAGTGCTCGACCTCCCGCCAGGATTCATCCTGTCTGGGTTCTCGTCAAGAGCCCGGGGACCTCCGCGGCGTCAGGGATTAGCACCCTATTGGGCCTGCCCTGGAGCTGGGGCTGCTGCAGACCCAGGGGAGCCTGCAGAGTTGAGGTACTGAGGGCTGGGGAGGCCTCCTGCAGGCCCCCTAGGCTGGGACCTTCGGGGTGAGCCGCGCCCAGGCCAAGTGCAGGAAGAACAGAGCGAGTGGAGTGGTGTGGGCACAGAGGGTGCAGTAGGAGCCAGAGCTGAAAGTCAGCTGGCCGAGGTGGGCCCTGCAGAGGGGACTTCGGCAGGATCTGCTGAGGTCAGGCGGAGCAGAGGCAGCTGGGCCCCAGGGGAGGCACTGCCTGACCCAGACGGCAAGCCGGAGAAGAAGCAGAAGGATCCTGGACACTCCGGAAGCTGAGGGAGGACGGGGTTGGCAGCCTCACTAGGATCACCTGGGTGCCATGCAGAGGGGGGTGCATTAGGGAGGGACAAGGAGGGCAGGGCTCCAGGGTCTGGCACCTGGCATGCAAACCTGGGGGCAGGGACCCAGGGTGTGGAGTGGAGCCCTACAGCCAGGAGACAGCTGGAACAGAACCCAAAGGGGACAGCTACCACAGAGGACCTAACCCTAACGCTGGCAATGTGCTGCTCAGGCCAGGCCGAGGGACACACGCATGCCTTTCCTGGGGTGCAACACTGGGTAGCGGGCAGCCTGGGAGTAGTAGGGGCACAGCAGAGGCTGGGCTGCAGCAGGAGAAGCCCACAACACACACAGTCGCAGACACAGGTCACCCTGGCGTCCCAGGCCACAGTGTGCACACACACTCACTCTCAGGCCCGTGTGCGGAGATGGGCCCCAGGGTGCAGGCACATGCACTCACACACAGGTGCACACGCTCCAGACATGCAGGTGAGCCAGCCGGTCAATGACTCATGCCTGGCTGTTCCCGTTTGCTGGGCTGCAGCCGACAGGCAGCCTGCCAGCAGCAGGTCAGACACACTGGAGTAGCTGCCAGGAAGGGCCTGGCAGCCTCCTGCTGCGGCGTGATGGGAACAGCTTTCCTTCAGATGCGGAAACAGGGTCTCATCCCTCTCCCTGGTGAGTGGCCCGGGTGTAAGGAGAGAGCGCCCTCGGGGCTGGGGGTGCGGGCACCTGTGCCCCAGTGTGTGCCCACCCCCTGGGTCTGTTGGAATCTCAGCCAGCCCCTCCACTGTGCTTGTTTTTTGTTTTTTGTTTTTTTGTTTGTTTGTTTGTTTTTTTCTCTGGTACCGGGAACCGAACTCACGACCTTGCGCTTGCCAGGCAGGCGCTTTTGCCGCTGAGCTAAATCCCCAGCCCCCCCTCCACTGTGCTTGTTTTTTGTTTTTTGTTTTTTTGTTTGTTTGTTTGTTTTTTTCTCTGGTACCGGGAACCGAACTCACGACCTTGCGCTTGCCAGGCAGGCGCTTTTGCCGCTGAGCTAAATCCCCAGCCCCCCCTCCACTGTGCTTGTTGCGACCTGGGGGTACAGGCCTGGGAGCAAGTCTTGTGGAACCTTAGGGCACAGACCCAGATCCCTGTTCCTCCTGTAGTAGGTGGACGGTCTTAGTGAGGTCACCTGGCTCCTGCTGGAATGAAGTGGCTCTGTCAGCTCTGAGGGAAGGAGAGGACGGGCCCTAGTGAGGGGCAGGGAGTGCATCCTGGGGCTCCCCCCCTCTGCTCCTTTCCAGGCTGCCTTTGTGAAAACCAAGTAAGAAAGGACTCACTGTGACGGGCCCTCTGGGTGCCATGCTGTGGAGGCGGCCACAGCTTGCAAGGGGCCCCCTGCTCCCTGGGCTTTGATGAAGGGGGAGGCTGCTAGCTGGCCTGCTGAAGCTCTGTCACCTGCAGACCCCAGACTCAGGGTGGGAGTGGGCAGGGTCCCTGTGCTCCAGGGGTGGGGCCACTGGGTGGTGGTCAGCAAGCCAAGGACTCTAACACAGCTTTGCCTGCCACTGCCCTTCTGGGAACCCCCTCAGGTTTCAGGCCAAGTGAGAGTACCCCGAGGAAGAGACCTTTGGGGGACTGCCCAGAGAGCTTTCCACCACAGCACCCACCTGCCCTCCCCCCGGACTCCTGGGCTCTACCTCACACAAGGCTCTGGTGGATGAATCGACAGAGGACAGGTTGCAGGCATGTGGGAGCTGCCTTCATGCCCCAGACCACAGCCAGAACCCCTCCCCACTGCCAGGTCCCAGGTCAGATTGCCACAAGCCGGAGCAGGGGGGGATGCCACACCCTACGGCTAGTCCTCCCTGCTGCGGAAGCCTGACCATCTTTGTCTCCTGCCGCAGAGCCCAGTGCTGCCAGGCTCCTGTCATCATGGCTCGGCTCCAGCCTCGTCCCACACCCCCCCAGGGACAAAGCTTGAGCTGTGGATGGCCAATGCTGGGGCTCAGGGATCAGTGTCGCCCACCCCTGCATCAAGGGAAAAATACACCCAACTCAGTGTTACCCCAGGGGATAAAAGGCCCTTCCTCCACTCGGTGCCACCCCAGGGGTGCTCTCAGCTCTGTGCCCACACCCTTCGTCAGACGGGGTACAGGCATGGGCAGGGCCTGGTGAGGCACCCAGCCTGCCCGCCCCACCCCCCCGCCTGCTCTCCCGTGCGCTCCTCTGGGCATCAATGATTGATGCCTGCTTGTGGTACTGCAGCAGCACAGCAAAAACAGCTCTGCCTCGTCCCTGCCCTGCCTTGCCCTGCCATGGTCCACTAGAGGGCATGGGGGCATCTCCCTCCTTTACCTGGGGACAACGGGAGGGTACGGGCCTGCTGGTCTAGGATCTCAGGACAACTTCCCCTCCCTCCCTGTGTACAGTGGCCCTGCCTCAGCCGCCTGTCCCCGAGCCAGGGCTGAGTGGCTCCTAGGTCCCCTCCTCTGCACCCTACAGCCCAGCACATGGCTGGGCTCCAGTAGCTGGGCAGTGGGGGTCATGTTGGGGGCTGCATTGTTCCTTTTGCCCCTGTGTCTAGGCCACCCTTCTGGCAATGGGCTTAGCTGGCTCTGGAGCTAACCCTGCTGCCCAGACATCACAGGCTGACAGAGGCCACAGACTGGGGTCCCAGGATCCTGGAGAAGCAGGACACCTGGGGACTGCAGGAGAATGAGGATGACCTCAAGCTCCTGCAGAACAGCACCTTCCCTGGGCCCCAAACTGCACTTTCTCCTGAGGCTGGGACGGTAAAGTCCCAGAGAGGAAGCTGCCTGCCCTTCCAGGGCTGGGGCTCTGGTGGACACTGATTTGGAAGGGCAGCCTGGGACGGTCACCTGGGCTCCTCCTCCTGACACACTGCATATAGCCCCTCCAGGGGCTCTGAGGGTCATGGCCTGTGTCCTCCACACCCCAGCTTTGATGGGAACCAACTTCCTCTGGCCCACTCTCCCCAAGCAGATGGCACCAAATAGGCTTGAACAGCTGGTCGCTCTGCAGCCAGGCCCCTCAGGGAGCCCCTGGTGGCCATCCCTGGGCTTGCACCCGGTGTGGCTGCACCATGATGAAGCAGGACAAGTCCCCTGGATGCCGTCCCAAGGACAGAAGCCACCTACCACACCCTTCTACAGCCAGGGCTGGCTACTGAGGAGAGGGTCCCCTCTGCCTTTCCTCAAGGCAGCCTTTCCTAGTGGGCTTACCAGGGACCCCCCAGGCACGTTAGCTGCCTGGGTTAGAACAACCCACTCTGGATGTTGGAGGCCTCAAGGGAGCCCTGTCTCCTTGTCTTCCTTGCTTCTGAGTATCAGCACTGCTGGGCTCCTGGCCCTGTGTCTCCAACCTCTGCTTGAATTTTACATCTATGACCCTGACCTCCCGTTTCCTTCTTTTCTTTTTGAGACAGGGTCTTGCTATGTGTGTAGGCTGGCCTTGAACTTACTACATAGAGCAGACTGGCCTCGAACTCACGGCAATCCTCCTGCCTCAGGGTTCCAAGTGCTGGAATTCAGGCGTGTCCCACCACGCCCAGCCTGTTTCCTTCTTACAAAGACCATGGTTTATCCGGGCTCAAGCATATAACCCACCACTGTCTTCTGCTTTCGAGATCCTTTCCCCTGTGTGTGAGGTCTGATTGAGGGTAAGGACTCCATGCATGGCTTCTGGGGATGAGGACACAGACATCTTGGGACCATCGCTCAGTGGCCATGCCAGGGAATGCAGGTCAGCCCAGCCAGGGCCCATGGACCAAGATCTGGATCCACTGCTGCTGCTTGGCTGCTGGGTCCCTTCCTCCTACATCATCCTGAGGGGCACAGTGGGCTCCTCACTCTCCACTCAGAAACTGAGGCCTAAAAAGGGCTGGGGAGTGGGGCTGGGGAGTCGCTGGCAGCCAGGAAAGCTGTTCCAGCCCCACTCCCTACCTCCCCTGCGGGCCAGGGCTCAGTCCCCCTGCCCCATGCACGAGAGGACGCTTCACTCCCTGGGGCTCAAGGATGGCTAGGACAGTGGGCAAGGGGAGCTGGGGCACTGGGGATGGACAGACAGCAGGACCTGCTGGCTGATGCTGTCCCTGGTCATGATGAGGTAAGCTGAAGCTCACCGCAAAGCCAGACAGCTGCAGGGCCACTGCTGGTGCCAGGGTGGCAGAGCCAAGACCTATTCCTGAGCAGTCTGGTGGCAGGGCCCCCTGGGTGCTGCCAGGCCAGTCTGTCCCTCAGGAAGTGGGGGTGGGGCGGCTGCAGTCCTAGATGCAGAGAATGATCTCATCTTGTCACTTTAAAATCAAAATTTTCAGTACCTTCCCAGCGGATGGGCAGGGACTGAATAACTCATACAAGGACAGCGCTCAAGGAGGCCGGAGGGCCGGAGGCCTGGGAGCCCGGCTGTGGACTGGGCGTGGACGAGGGCTTGGAGGGGGCCTGGCACTCCCTTCCCAAGAAGGCAGGGCGTGGCTGCAGTGGAGCTGTCAGCTCAGGCAGGAGTGTGGGCCGGTGGGGAGTGAGCCTTAGGCGGGGCATCCCTTGGCAGAGGGGCAGGGCTAGCCCATCAGGGCCCTTCCCCTGGGGCTGGTGGCACAGGAGGGGGAGTCTTGGTGGCCCAGACTGGCCCTGTTCTGCCTTGGGCTGGCTGGTGAGAAGGCCCCGAATTGTGTGGGACCGAGAAGGACAGGGTGGCCCCCGATCCTGCTCTGCGGGCTGTGGCAAGTTAGGGCGACTGGGGACCGGCTCGTCAGAGCGCCGGGCTTGGACCCTGGTCCTCGGGGAGCCCCGTCCCGTGGGGAGACCTCCCGCAGCAGCACAGAACCACGCAGGGCAGGCCCGGGCGGGGTGGGGGCGGCGATGGCTCTGCTCCGGGGCCGCTGTGCTCTCGGGTCAGGCAGAGGGCCAGGCGGGCGGCAGCGAGACCCCACCACCCCGCGGGAGTGGTGCGGGGCATCCCCCGCGGAGGGGGCGAGGGCGGGCCGGTCCTGGCCACGCCCGGGCGGCGCGTTGACGTCAAGGCGGAGGGCGCCGGAAGCAGGCCGGTGGGCGCCGTTGCCGGGCAACGCGTGGCGCGGGCCTTGGAGGACGGTGGGTTGCAGGTTGCTGCTGGCAGCCAGGTTCGCAGGCTCAACGCTCAGCGAAGGTGGGTGAGGGCCTGAGCCCGGCCTCGGATCCCGTGCCCGGCGGAGACCCCGGCACGCGCCGCCCTCGCGCCCTCCGGCAGAGCCGCGCTCGCTTCCTGCGGGCTCGCTCGGGCGCGCACCCCTCCCGCGATCAGCGGGGCCTCCCAGACCCGCGCGGGTCCGCCACTCGCCACACTTGTCCGGCCCCAGGACGCGATCCTGCACCGACCCGTCCCCCGCACGTGCAGGCGCCGGGCAGTGGCGCGGCGCGCGTCCCCGGCGCGCTGGAGCTGTGGGCTCCGCGGCCACACGTGGACTCCCCGTAGGAAGCGAGACGCCCCAGCCGGTCCAGCGCGGCGGAGGGGCGGACAGCTCGGCTCAGCGGCTGCATGTCCTCTGAGCTGCCTCCCATCGGTCTGCTGGCCTGGCTGGACGAAGATGCAAGGCCAGGAGGAGCTGACGAGAGAGTCCGTGCATGATGCGGGGGAACCAGGCGAGGTTTCCCTCCATCAGGTAGCTGGGGGACAGAGTGGTGACAGTTTGGAACGTGTAGGGACCTGCTGCAACAATCGTCTGCTGGATGGGAAAGCCAGCAGCTGCGGGGGAGAGGGCCTCCCTTCCGGTACCGCCGGGGGTGCAGACCCAGGAGAGCTGAGTGGCGCCTGGGGGGAGTTCGAAGGCTTTCAGGAATCTTCAGTCAAGTTTGAGCAGTTTTCACAGAGGCAGAAACTGCTGCAGAGACCTGCAGAACCTCAGCGGTGGAGAGCCCCTCCTGCCCCAAGGGAGCATGGTTCCCAACAGCCACACCAGGCTGCACTCTGGGTGACAGGAACTGCCGTTGACCCGTCTCCAGAGGTATTTCTGCAGTGCTTGTCACCCTGTTCAGTGGGCAGTATATTGCACACCAGAAGGCCCACAGATCTCCTGCAGGTTTTAGTGCACTGGCCAGGGTGGGGGGCCTGCTGAGCCTTTGAGTGTCCTCTTCTCTCCTGGCCTTTATCACTTGCAAAGTGGTTGGCCATCCTGTCCTCTTGATATTGCAGAAACAGATTAGACCAAGGTCAGGTGGAACCACCAAGGCTGGTCTGTTTTCCCTGACCACTGCTCCCCAGGCCTACCCTCTCCCCTCAGCAGCAGCTACACTGCTGTGGCCCCATTTAGGTTCTTGGGGAAGGAGCTCTGTGCCCCAGTTCTGAAGCTGCAGCTATGGGAAGTCCCAGCTCCTAAAAGCATGTAATCCCAATCCAGTTTCAGAGTGATGAGCTGGGGAATGTCTGGCCCCTCACCCCGCTCCCTCCTCAGAGCTCACTGCCAGCCTTTGCAGCACCTCTGACCCTCTTTGCTAGTGGGCTCTTTCTCCTACCACTGCTCCTCGGACTATCTTTCTCCTGACATTTCTCCTCTTTCTCTGCTGTCTCTTCCAAAACTGGTTCACCTCAAACACCACAGAATGGAGATAAGTAAAATCACTGAGGAAGAAAACTGTAGATGGATCCTGGACCTCTGACAGGTTCACTTTTAGTGCAGTCAGCTCTGCTGTCATGCTTGCTAGAAACTAGGATTTTCTTCCAATGTGATTGATATACTAGGGACCATTTGAACATAATGGAAGTTTTGCAGGACACATTAGGCAAATGTAGAAACTTCACCTGGCTGAGCAGTGTGGAATACACACACAGTCCCTGCATACTGCAGACATCTCTCCTGTCCGGCTTACTGGGAACTTTGGGTAACGTGAGGGGGCACCTTCTCCCTGTGCTGCTGATGGAGCTGGAGTTGTGTCCTCACCCATGTCCTGTAGGTCCTGGGGTTCTCACTGCGTGATTGTGCACAGTGCAGAAATCTCAGGAATGACTGTCAAGGGATGGCAGCACTGATCATCCAGTTAAGTGCAGTCAAGTGCTGATTTCACTTGTACCAAGTCAGCTGGCATAAGGTGGCCTAATGTGTGCATGTCCCCTAACTTTGAAATGTTCTTTCTTTCTAGCCTGTTGTCAGCTATAAGAACATTTTCAGGTTTGCTTTTCAAGAGGTTACAGTCGAGCAGACCACTGAAGACGTTTCCACCTTAGACCATTTCTTAGAAGCAAACAAGGAAGAAAACCCTGGCCTCTCATCTGTGCACAGACTGTGGTAATGAACTTAGGTCGGAACTAAGCAAGCCCCTCAGCAGCTCTGCCTTCGTACTGTTTGCTAAAGTAGCTGTGGGAGGCTCTGTGCTTACTGCTTAGATAGGCTGTCACTCCAGAAGCCGCCTGTGGGTGTCCATGGGAACCACAGCCCACAAGGATGCTCCAGAGGTGCCACCCCCAAGCACCAGAACAAACCGACCAAGGCACCAGGCCTCTGGTGTCTCTGCACAGGCAGGAGGGACAGACTGGGCTGGGCATGGGCAGAGGGGCCGCTGGAGCAGCCACCCAGCCACAGGGTCAGCCTGTGTTGTTTCTGGTGCTGCCCACAGGGCTGAGGCTCCTGTGGGCAATCAGTCACAGCTGTATGAACCCTCTGAGGACTTGGAGTTGACAGGAACTGTGCTCAAGGAGTGAGACCTGGGCTGGGCGGAGCTGCTGGAGATGCTCGCCTAAGACCTCCAGGAGGGGAGGAGGTGGGATCGCAGAGGTGGGGAGAGCTGGGTTGGCCTGCGGTGTCCCTGTCTTCTTGGGCACAGGGTTCATCAGAACCCTGCAGACAGGCCATTCTGCCACAAGGGGCTGGGGACATGGCTGGAGCCTTCTGTGGTGCTCCTGCAAAGCCTGGCCCCTGGGAGAGCGGGCCTCCAGGGCAGCCTAGCAGGCCAGGGACTGGTATAGCTAGAGGACCAGTGGTACTTTGGGCAAGAGTAGAACCTGCTTTCATGGTCTGAGACACCAGGGTGTTTTGAAAGCAACTAGGTGCTTAGCACACCCTGTCTAGTGCTGCAGTTCTTGGGCACTGTTTCCCCTTCCCCATGAGGGTGGGAACAACTGGGGCAGACCCCCCTCACCCTGTACTCAGCAGTATCATGGGCCATGACATACATCCCCCACTCATTTCTTCATTCTGCACATTCCTTGTTCTGCTCTATGCACATCTACTTTGTGCCAGCACAGCGGTAGGCATGTAGGTAACAACCCAGCATAGCCTCTGGCCTCAGGTGTCTGCTCCTGGAAGGAGCCCTCAGAGTGTGTGCGGGGGCCTGTGGGGGCCGCTCTGTGGACAGACAGGCGGGGGTGGTGCAGACATCATGGGTGTTTGGGTGGGCGTGGAAACTCACAAGGGAACGCCACAGCCCAGTGCTGCTGGGTGCTGCCCCGAGAGCCTCGAGGCTGGGTGCCCTCTGCCCACAGCTGGGCTTTGGATCTGCTTGGAAGGCTGTCACTCTCCTAATGGATGTGATGGTTTTCTAGTTCTGAATCAAGGAAGCTCTGGAGAAACCTTCAGAACACCGACGCCATGTCCATGTCACAGTGCCTCTGGAGCGAGTCTCGCTGCCAGGAAAACCTCTTTCTCGTTCTCGGCGTGGATGCTGCTCAGAAGGTAAGTTGGCTGGGGTTTGGGACTCTGTGGCAGCCTCAGGTGGCTGTGACATACTCTAAGGGCCACCCACCTAGGACAGGATGGGTGCTAAAAATGGTTGGTCTGCAGCAGGGGCATCTGCCTTCCCAGTCCTCAAGGCCACTGACTTAGAATGGTTGTGGCAGGGCAGGGCTGGGGACAGCTAGATGGAGCATGGTGTGAGGGCCGGGTGGCCCCTGTCACGGGCAGCATGGTGTCCTCAGACGCCTGTGCACACCTGCAGGAGGGTGAGGAGCTGATTGTAGACTGTGCGCATGTGCACTCAGAGTGGGTGGCCAATGCCCTGAAGTGTGCGAGCCCACAGGCCCAGTCAGTGCCTCCTGAATACTCCCCCGAGGAACTGAGGCAGGAGGACACTGCCAGGGGTTGTCTGTACCTCCAGGGCTGCGGACAGGAAGCAGGGAATGAGGGCAGGCTCTGGTGTGGGCCCAGGGAGCATAAGGAGTCAAGGAATGGGATTATCCAGGTGAAGGCGCCCTCAGCAGTGGGTAAGGGCCGCCTGCACCCCTGAGTGCAGTAAGCATCACCCACCACTGGCAGGGTTGGGCCCAGCATGTGAGCCATAATCATGTCCTGGCCCCAAGATGAATCCCAGATGCAGGGGCAGAGCCCTGGCTCAGGTCAGCCACGGTGCAGGGAGTTACCAGAGAAAGTGTACACTACAGGGAGGGCCTCTCAGCTGCCACACGGGAGGCAGAGACCTTTTCTGTTCGTCAGTGCTATGGACATTTTAAATGTAGGAGCTCAAAAGGGGCTGCCCAGGCAGGTGGTGGCCCTTGTGAAGGCCTCTACGCCACAGGTTGGTCGGGAGGTGAGTGAGGGGTGGGGAGGAGTGGAGAGGAGCCTGACCCCCTCTTGCTGCACTCAAAGCCAGGAGGCCTAGAACCAGGAGCAGTCAGGGTATGTGGGGCTGTCCTGGTCTGTGACTCAGTGTTGTGGTGCTGAGCAGCGAGTTTGGGGAAACCCGGAGGTGCAGGCGTGTGCTCGGTGCTTAGTCCTGGAGGCTGGAGACCAGAGCACAGTGCGGCAAGGGCATCTCGGCAGGCGGAGGGGGCGTACTACCCCGGGGCCTCTCTTCCTGTCTGTGCAAATGCCCCCACGGAGGCTCTGCCCTTCAGGCCTTCTCTGGTGCTGATCCCCTCCCCGAGCCCACTCCAGGGGCCATGGACACAGAGCTTGGGGGCTGCATTCCTAACACGCGAACTTCTGGGGACATGTGGGTAGGTGGAGCAGTGCACAGGCCTGGAAACCAGGTGACGAGCAGCAGGTGGCACAGCTGAGCAGGGTGCCCTGTGGCCGACCTGTGAGAGGACTGAGTGTCCAGAACTCAGTGCCGTTGTAGAATGCATGCGACAGATGTGTTCAGGTGCTCAGGAAGGAAAATGATGACCACACTGGCTGTGACAGAGCTTTGTTTCCCCAGATCCCTTCCGGAAGCCAGGGTCACATTCTGCAGGGTCTCAGCCTCAAAGAGCCTGAAGAACTGCTGGCAGTCAGCAGCTTCCGTCTGCACCACTGCAAAGCCCTGATCCAGACTAAGGTGAGGACCACCAGAGAGGCCTGGGAAAGGTGGTGGGGTCCACAGACACATAGCCCTTCCTGCCTGTGTGTTGAGTCGCACTTCCTGCATGTAGGTCCTGTGGACTGAGGGAAAATGAGCTTTGCTGCTGCGTAGGGCAATGTTATAGTCCCACAGGCGCCACAGACCCAAGTGTCATCTACGAAAATTGTGGACGGGGGCTAAGGGGGGCTCCCCTGCATCATTGCCAAGCCTTGCACCTGGCCCTGCACCTGGGTGGCTCGCAGATGCCTCTACGGGATCTGGTGAGCTCTAATCTCAGGGTCTGAGATCTGTGTCTGTGGCAGCCACCTGGTACCATCACAGTGGAGACCACAGCAGGAAGAGGGACAGGCAGGTAAGGGCTCTGCTACCCAGAGGGAGGAGCAGCCCCCCTGCGAGGCCTCCTGGTACCCACCTCAGGACAGATTCAGAACAGAGGATGGCCCCTGGAGGCCATGGTAAGGGCCAGGTTGTGAGTCACAAGAATGGTGCTGCCCTACTGTTGTGAGCTTTACTCTCTTTTTTTTTTTTTTTTTTTTTTGTGGTTTTTCTCCGGTACCGGGAACCGAACTCACGACCTTGCGCTTGCCAGGCAGGCGCTTTTGCCGCTGAGCTAAATCCCCAGCCCCTGTGAGCTTTACTCTCAATGACTGGCACAGGGCTGCCAGGTGATGCTGCTGGGGGCTGCCCAAGAGGGTCCTTCTCCTGAGTTCACACTGGGCCACTGGCAGGGGCCTCAGGAGACTGCCCCTCTGCTCTTGGGCAGAAGCCTCTAGAGATGGGGCTTCGGCTGTTGTCTCTGGGCCACGAGATGTCACTCACAGAAGCTGACACTGGGGGAGGAGTGGCCAGCAGCAGCCGTGTGTGTGAACACTTGTGCAGTCCCAGGCAAGCAGGGAGGGTGGGGCCAGACCCAGCACAAGCGCCCAGAATCCACCTAAGAAACAGACCCACCCGTCTCGGGAACTGCAGCTGGATGCATAGAACTGTAAGAAGCTGGCCTGGTCACTTGGGAAGTCAGGTGGCAGTACCCCACACCTCTAGTCACACACATGTGTACCTGACCTTTGCCCTCCTCACAGCCCTCAGGGACACCAGCCAGCAGACAGGGGAGCCTGATTACCTACAGCCTCTTCCTGAAGACACCCCTCCATGGAAACGGGCGGTACATCACCATCCCACAGAAAAAGAAGATCTTTGCTCCATGGAACCTAAAAATGGCATTCTTCAGTAATAATGTTTGCTAAAAACAGGAGTACTTTGTACCTTTCTGAGGCGTTTCCCATTTTCTTACTGATCCCCTTTGGGACCAGAAACTGGGAACTCCTTTGTGTCCCAAGATCTGTAACACCGTCCAGAGCCCCTGACCAGCGTCAGGTCCTGTCAGGATGCACAGAGGAAGCGTCCTGTGGCAGGGCTAGCCCGCAGGTGGAGGGGCGGAGTGCTAGAGTGCAGGAGCTGAGTGTCTGGTGGTGACCCCAGACAGCTCTCTTGGATCTGAGTTCAGAAGAAAGGGGAAGACACTGAATGTCACTGTGGAGACAGCGGCTGACCACACTCAGGAACCCCTGGGGCACTGTTGCTGGAAGCGCCTACACCTGTACCCCAGCCCTGCCCAGCTGCCTGGGAAACAGACCTTTCCCCTGGAAGAGGAGTAGGTGGGAGGCCTCAGTCAGAGGCTTCTCTAGTCATCTGCTGAGGCAGCTCTTTCCCTCTGAGGGCAGAGCCAAGCATCCAGCACTTACTTTTTGTAAACTTTTATTAAATAAAAAGGCCTGGGTAAGCCTGTGTTCTTGTTGACTCATTAGTTCTGCAGGGACTGGTACTGAAATCTTGTCCCCATGCAGGCCTGAATTTGAGGGCTGGCAAAGAGAAGTCACACTGGAGAGGTCAGAGGTTCTAGTTGGGACCCCACTGTTTGTCCCTGCCCAGGCAATCCCAGGTACCAGCTTCCCCAGAAGAGGCCAGCTTCCCAGTCAAATGACCCAGATAAGGCACAGCTCGGTCAGGCACTGATGGTAGGCACTGTTTCTGTTCTGAAGGGAGAAGGGAGTGGCTGTCACACCCCTCTGGGCCTTGGCCACCCACCCGACAGCTCTACCTGGGAGGTTGTGTGTGCACGCCAGATGTTTATGAAAGCTGACTTAATTTTTCTTTGTTCAACTAGAAGATAGTGTAGACCAGCACAGAAAAGGAATAGTGGCACGTGCCCTATAATCCCAGCACTCTGGGAGGCTAAGGCAGGAGGGTGACAAGTTTGAGCCCAGCCTGGGAAACATTGCAAATCCTGTCTCAAAAAAGGGTTGGAGATGTCGTTCCGTGCAAAGGCCCTGGGTTGGACCTCTAAGACCACCACAGAAAAGGGAGGAAGAGGGAGGGCTGGGGGAGAGGCACAGCTGTGCACAGCCAAGAGGTGAGACTAGGGGGAATGTGAGTCACAGGGTGTCTGGTAAGTGGTCAGCATCAGAGCACATAGGAGCGCAACTCAACAGCAAGGAAATAACCCAGTCAAAAAACAGATGAAGGGCCTGAGTAGTTACTTCACAAAAAACACGCAAATGCTCATGAAAAAGATGTTCCACATCTCAGATCATCAGGGAAAGGCAATTAAAAGCAGCACAGTGAGCTATCACCACACCTGTTAGGATGGCTGACATCAAAAAAATGAAGGATAACGTGAGCTGGGAGGGTCTGAACCAGGAGCCAGGCTGCACAGCTGTCAGGGCAACAGTGTGGCGGCCCCCTAACTGCACCTGCCGTGTGACCCCACAGTCCCATCCCGTGTGTTTGTCAGTGTTCACAGCAGTGCCACTCACAACAGCATGGAACCTACTGCACGCCCAAACAGACCAAGCAAGGAGTGAGGTGCAAGCACACAGCACAATGAGACCAAGCCTGTCACGGTGTGGGCGGAGCGGGAGGACACAGGCCAAGTGAAGCAAGCCTGGCGCAGACACACAGAATGAGTTCATTTATACAGAGAACCTTGAAAGATGGGGCTCAGGCACGGAGAGGGGTTCCCTGGGGATGAAGAATTAGTTCAAGAGTACACACACAGCCAGGCGTGGTGGCACATGCCTGTAATCCCAGCACTCGGGAGGCTGAGGCAGGAGGATCATTTTGAGTTCGAGACCAGCCCGGGCTACAAGGTTAGCTCAAGGCCAGCCTGAACTGCATAGCGAGACCCTGTCTCAAAAAAAAAAAGAGTACACACACAGCCTCAGATGAGAGGGGCAAGTTTAAGAGATCTACAGAACTGCGAGGTATTGCGAATAGTTAGTACCCTGAACTCCTGAAAATCGTTTAGATTGTAAGTGTTCTCACTACAAAAAGATCATTGTAAAGCGTCCGTAAACAGCTCAATTTAACCATCCCCAAAATGTAGAGATATTTGGAAACATCACCTGTACCATGTATATATATATATATATATATATACACACACACACACACACACACACACACACACACACACATATATGTATATATATATATATATTTTTTAGAGGTGGGGGCAGGGGGTCAGCTTAACAAATTCCTTTAACAGACCTAGAATGGGTATGATGATGCACACCTGTAATCCCAGCACTTCAGAGGCCAAGGCAGGAGGATCACCATGAGTTTGAGGCCAGCCTGGGCTACACAGTGAGACCTTGTCTCAAAAAAAACAAATAGAAATAAAGACCTGGAGAGGCTGGGGATTTAGCTCAGGGGTACAGCGCCTGCCTGGCAAGCGCAACATCATGAGTTTGATTCCCAGTACCGGAAAACAAACAAACAAACAATTAAAGAAATGAAGACCTGGAACGAACAGTGAGGTCACACGGGGTGACAGCATAGCACGGATGGCAGGTGACAACGCTGTGCTTGCACCCTTTGTGCTTGCGTGGTCCTGGATAAACTGCCAGCAGGAGAGGCTGACCATCTGGATGTGTGGAGATGCCACTGTCCGCATGGAGAACCTCTGCCCCTCTAGGGAAGAACAGCCATGTGAACACCAGGTGTTACAGGACTCTAAGGATGCATCATTAACACTGTGACCGTCACGCCCACTGCCCGTCCACCGGCCCCAGCTGCACACACACTGTCCCACTCCACGCTGCACAGCTAGTGTCCCTCACCAAGTGTCCTGGGCTTTGGGGCTGGCAGAGGGGTACACCAGTGCCCAGGCCCTATCCTCCAGCCCAAGGGGCAAGAGGCACTACCCTGCCCTCTGTGCACTTGGGGAAACAAAGCTGCTCAGCCCTGTGGACAGGTGGCTTGGGCTGGAGTGCAGGGGGTAGTATATGGAGAGGGGGTGCAGAGCCCACTGGGCAGGGCACAATGGCCACGCCAGGCCGAGGACTGGTGCCTACAGGGAGGCCCAAGCCTCCTGGCAGCCGTGAGGCCTGGCCTGAGGACAGCCGAAGCCCTGGACAATGGCACTGCAAAGGCCACCACTGTGACCCTCACACACCCCCACAGCACAGCTCCCCTCCCTCTGCCTCCAATGAAACCCGCAGCAGGCGCCAAGGACACTGAGAACACCGGCACAGAGCACAATGAGGACCAGGTTGATCCTGTGAGTAATCCTGGCAGGGGTGGCGCGTGCACTGCAGGTGGAAGTAGTACAGACAGAGGTGACAGAGAATGGACTCCCTTGTCCTTGAGGCTGATTCCAGCACCCCAAGAATGCTCGTGGTTCAGGTTCACAGGTCATCAGGCAGGGCCAGCAGAGGGGCCACAGAAAGCATGTCCAGGCAGAGATTGGGGCGCCAGTCACCAGACCACCCAACAACTCCCTCACAAAGCACTTCACATGGCTACAGCCTCATGCTGCCAACACTACCCTGCTTTAACCGCTGCAACCCAGCCTGCCCCTGGGGGCCATGCTCAGGGTTCTGACACTTGCCCAGAATCAAGGGTTAGCTGCGGGGGAAGAACTGAGCAGCAGCATTCACAGGAGAGCACCGTTAGCCCTGAGATGTTTCAGACTCAGAAACAGCGGTTCCCTGGGGAGGCCATCACCTTCTCACTGCAGCAGCACTTAAGTGCTCTGTAACTCTTAGAACTCCTGATGCACTTCCACAGCTACCGAAGCTCTGTGCTAAGACAACAGGCTTGTGGGGGACCTCCTGGGTGTCCTCCCTGGGCACAGGACCCCGCTCAACACTCGTGTCAGGACATTATGCACACCTGTCACATGCTAAGTACCAACTAAGGTAAAATCAAATGCCCTATTTTACAGACAAAATTATGAAACACTTGGGAAATCTGTTTCCACCAAAGTTAGTCTGTACCTACATATTTAAAATACCACAGCCGGGCATAGTGGCACATGCCTGTAATCCCAGCACTTGGGAGGCTAAGGCAGGAGAGTCACCATAAATTCAAGATCAGCCTGAACTACACAGTGAGACCCTATTTAAAAAAAAAAAAAAAAATTTATATGATTAAACTTGCCAAGAAATTTGTGTAAAATTGATGCACAACCACTGTACCTATGGCAGAAATAAACACCTTCTTTGCTAGGCTGGTGGCACGTATCTGTAATCCTAGCACTCAGGCAGCTGAGACAGGAGGATCACTGTGAATTCGAGGCCAGCTCAGGATATATCAGCAAAGCCAAGGTCACCCTACACTACACTGAGACCTTGTCTCAAAAAAACCAAAAAGAAAAAAAGAAGCACCTTCCATCGAATCAGCAAGCAAAAAATAAGCCTAGGAAATAAGGCAGCAGCTGAACGGGCTTCAGCCTTCTTCAACCCCTAATGGCCACATTTCCAAGTGCTGAGAGTTCCTCCGCACACACGGGGACAGAGTTCGGCTCGATGCAGGACACCTGTGCTCCTGCAAAAGACGAGGTGTGTCGGGTGTACTCTGCCTGACAGGTCCCCTCCGGCCTTAGGCGCTAGGAGCTTCACTCTCCAACTCCTTACACTAGTCAAGGCGGCCAAGACACCACAGCTCGTATTGAAACTGAACAAGTGATATATAGAAAAGGCAGAAAGGCCATAAAGAAATAACCGCTTCAGGTTTATCACATAAACACACACCTTTGAACTAGTTTCCACAAGGAACATTTCCAGAGTAGCAGGAGGCTGCTGTGGACCTAGGACTCAGGTGCAGGGCCTGCGCTCACCTGCAGCCTCATGCCGTGAAGGTGCTGAGCCCTGGCAAACCCGCACACTGTCTAACCTTGAGCCGATGATGCCCATGGAACTGGGGAAGTGCTGAGCAAGGTGAAGGAGAGCTTTGCTTTGGAACTCCGTGAGGGCAGGAAAGTAAAAGTGCCATTCACTGCCTATATAATACACCCACCTGAAGACAACTAGGAAAACACGCAAGGATCATGACAGAGTAGATAAATCACAGCATATTTCCATTTTGTTTGTTGGATACTTTTTTAATACAGTGAGGTTTACATCACCAACATTAAAGAATGGTCATATGCACAAAGAAAACAAACGTCTCAGGCTCAAAGGAGGCAAAGTAGAAAAAAGTGTATGACAAACAGGAAACATGAGTGCGTGCAGGTCTAGAGGGTCAGACCTGGGAGACCCTTGGGAGGACCAGAGGGCACGGCCAACCCAGCTCAGCTCGGGCAGCACCTCACTGACCCTCAGGACAGAGCAGCCAGAATTCAGAATCAGACTTCTTTCACCCCTGATTTCAGTGTAACCTTAAAATGTTGTCCCAGAACCAATTTAACAGAGCAGATGTAGGCATTTTCCAACCCAACAGCACATGGTCACATACCCTTTCCATACCCACAGAGCCCTGGCACACAGCATCAGCTGCACCTATTT